CTGAATCAGGAATAACAAACTTTAGTGAATTACAGAGCCTTTGAAAAACAAGTGCCTACAGTAAGGTTCTACAGTATTTATTATTTAGTTTTGGCCGTACGACGTTAACCTTAATGTTTGTACCCAACATGCAGCGCGATAGCTCTGCCCTTTTTGTTAACAAATCAAAATACGCATGCGCAAACCCATAACATATGTCGAGCACGTAAAATCCTGAAATTAACATACTTCGCAACGCAAGCTGAATAAATTATGACATCCGTTAGTTACCGTCGTGCGGCTAAGTCACACCTAAAGACCATGTGACACTAGCTACACTCACTATACAAATAAGTAATTATTAGTAATAACAACAAATGTTAACATGAAAGAGCACATGGAATACTGGTTTATTTGATGTCACATTTTATTATTTCCTCATAAAATATTATTATTATTTTTATTATAATTTATTTAGGCACACAACTCATGCACCAAGGATTGTCAATAGCGAATACATCACTATCCTGTAGGTAATAATCCCTTTGACAAGACAAACATACACACACGATGCTTAACACAAACTAAATCTCAATATGAGGTTTATACAGTGGAGTTTGGTCGTGAGGAAAAATCCTGCAGCACTGACAGGAATTGGAATGCAAGCATCTTAACCACCAAGCTATTTAACTCCACGCCACTGGCACCTATATTTATCATATATCATTGTTATCTAAAATCAACATGATACTTACTTGGAGGCCGCCCTCATTGAGAGCTCTAGCACCATATGCTATCCTTTTACCACCTTCAAAGGTTGATCTTATTGCTGGATGATGCTTATACCTTTGGAACTCTCTGTAAGGGCTAAGATATGGATTGGTGTAATCTAAGCCAACCACAAAACCTACAGCCACCAATGGAGAACCTTCATCAAGATGGTACAAGAATGAACCTCCATAGGTTTTAAAATCCTGTCATACAATAAACCAATAATTGATATTTTGATTTATTATTATAAATAAATATTATTATGTTTACAAATATTCTTTAAAATTAATTCTATATGGACAATATAAACTTGTAGAATACTGAACTAATGTGCTAATAATTTCAATATTTTCTGTTGAAACTATATCTTTTTCATGTCATCATTAATGTTATGAAAGAATATGAATTAGAATTACCAATGGCCAACCAACAGTATGTTCAACTCTGCCAGGCTCGTGCTTAGCGGGATCAATCTCCCAAAGCTAAACAAAATAAAAATACAGGAAGTATAAGGCAAAAGTCACTGAATTATTAATTAAAAGTAAAATCATCATATTTAAAAAATTGTAGATTTGCCTTGTAAATCTGTCTTCATGATACTACTGTATATACTCGCGGATAAGACGATCCCTGAGTTTGAGAAGATGATCGGCTGAATTTAGTATGTTGGGTGTATAAGACGATCCCCGGTTTCATGGTCGGAATTTATACTTATTTTCTATTTCTTGTGGTCCTGATACTGTGTCTAGCTAGCTAAAAATGGAGTCAAATGCAAGGCTAATCTTCCAAGTAATACCATTTTATGAGTTTTTAAATTTCATCGAAATCGTACTTCCCCGTATTTGGGTTCATTCATACTAACATTTAATAGCTACAATGCAGTAGTAAATTTGCATGTTACGGACACATAAGGCGAACATGATTTTAAAAATCTAAATTTTGTATGTTGTGTGTATAAGACAACCTCATTTTTGGATTGTAATTTACTAATTTAAGACTAGTCTTATACACGAGTATATACAGTACTTCATTTTTAAGGTATCAATGATTTTTCTTAATAATAAAAACCATATTATATATAAATATAAAGATGCTTAAAGATTTAAATACCAGATACCTTCACTCATATAACTGACTTTTGTGCTCACAAATAGTGGAGCTATCTAGAAAAAAGCTTGTAGGTGGCAGCCGTTAAAGCATATAAAAGAATATTCAGTAGTCTTGTAGGTGGCAGCCGTTAAAGCATATAAAAGAATATTCAGTAGTCTTGCTACATAGCACCGTAAATAATAATATTGTAATAATAATAATAATTCCGGATTTATATAGCGGCTCTCATTGTCACAACCTTGAGACACTTAACATCAACATAAGTGAAGGAAATAAACTAAAAACAGACTATAATATACAAAACAAGATATCATGAATCATAAATATAATCAAAACATTCTTATTTCCATCCAATTATCATAGTATCAGCACACACAAAAGAAGCGGCCAGAACGGCAAATTTGTATTGGTATTTTCGGAATAGCGCACTAGGTGACAGTCGCACGCCCCTCCAAAGATTACTCACGCCCCCCCCCCCTCAGTCGCTCCCCCAAAAATCACGGTCAAGTAGTTAAAAATCACCTAAATTCACCTTATCTTGCGAATTAGGGCCCCTCAATCGATCATCGAGGCCCCTCCACATCACCTTCGCGCCCCTGCTATCAGCACCCCCATTTCAAGACTTCTAGATACCCCACTGCTATGAGACCTAGTTGATAGTGATTAGGTTCACTTTTAGGAATCCTTTATCGGCCTGTTTCTGATATTTTATGCTTTTACTGTGTTGTATTGTAACTAGTTGTTGTTTTTATGTATTTTACCGAGACAAAATAAATTAAATGAAATGGCACGTACCTCCTTAATACCAATTGCATAGGTCTGAGGGTCACAGTTTGCTCGTAGGTCAAATTTCTTGTACAGTTGTTTTGCAAGATGACCATGGCAGCCCTCAGCAAACACTGTTACTTTCGCATGGAGTTCCATACCTCGCTCAAAGTTGGCCTATAAAAATGGAGTTAGGACATCAGTAGGGTTCTGAAAATACCCACTTTCTAGATACCCCACCCCCATTAAGAAACAATTTTCACATAAAAAAAAAAGTTTCATGATGTTGAATGATTTCTAAGATGGACTAATAATAATCATCCTGATGATGAGACAATTGCCACACGATGGCGTGCATTTCCATACTTGGAGTATGTGTTATACTGTCTAATGTAGAAGTATTAGGAGTACTGTGACTGCATTTCATATACTCCTGATGCTCAATTGTTTACCTTAGGTGAGCCATCTTTACCTATGCCAACATCAGTGGTTGCAACAC